CTTCTTCAGCAGAAGTCACCACGGACCTCCCTGAGCACCTCTTCTCACCTCGAGATCCACCCTCTGCTCCTTGTCAGCCTTTAGTGGAGGCAAAACCTGTGCCCTCTGCCACAATACGATGACCTTCAAAAATTGGAGGCAACCAGCAACACCTGCTTGTCAGAGAAACGTACAAACAAAAAGGAAGCAACATGATGCTTCCTGGCTTTAAAGATGAAGTGAAAAATATAAGAATAGGACAACACTGGCGAGTTCAGACTGTCAAGAGTCTGTACTGCTCTCTGCAGAGTTGAATTCTCGAAGTAGGAGCGTGTGCTTCATCTCACAATTAGCAGGCATTTTTCATTGGGGCCACTAGACGCAGAGCAGTAATAGAATTTAGAAGAGCTGACTTTCAGCAGCAGTCTACTATAAATCAAAGCCACAAAATAAGACAGCCTGCGAAGTATTATCAGGGAGCAACACAGAAGCAACAGTGTGCTCTGAAGTATTACCTGAAATGCTGTTTGCAGGAATTAATTCAGATATGACTTCTGCGAGCACTGAAGGTGACAAGTCTCAAAACCACATATAATTCCTCCAACTCCAGGGTTCAAAAGTTGCAGTCAGACACACGGGGTTGCTTTGCCCTGGATCAACAGCAGTGACTATGTACACCCGCAGCAACTCTGCCCAGTGATGGTAAAAGCTTTAGGAAGTTAGCACTGATTACAGGGAAGGTTGATCAAGTCTATGATTAGCAAAAACAAACAGGAATTAAACAGAGTAGTAACCTCCGCTAGACATAAGGGGGAAGCTGCCCTGTCTGTAGACTTCAGTAAATAAAGCCACCATCGGTATTCACGTGATGGGTTAGTCGGTATTTTTCAGCTGGAATGTTTGCCAGACTGTAGTCTTGCAGCTGAACTGTGAATTTCCTGTGTGGAAGAGGAGGAAAGGGTCGGTGTTTTTCACGGGGAGCAGGCAGGCTATCCGGCAGCAGTGAGGATCAAGAGCCTTGAAACTGCTGACACCCAAAGCGGTAGCTGACGGCACTGGTAGCCAAATCCTCACTGGGAACCTACACCCCAATTCAGTTATCGGCAAGTCGAGCTGCAGGTTTCGTTTCCTTCAATCTTGTGCTTCTCACCCCAAGCTTCTCTCTTTGTTTTCTTGTCTTGATCAACCACATCTAGGCTGAGCGTCTGACAGGAGTCGTAATTCTCTCAGGTGGAGTGGTTAAGTAGAACACACAACAAAAAGCCCAGTTACATCATACAGTCAGCAGACAGGCCTATGCTAGTTCAGGAGGGTGAGTTACATATTAATTTAGCGTTTAAACCCATTTTTTAGCCATTATGCTAATCTACTTAAGGCTCAGAGTCCTCCAATTTTTCTTCACTGCTTTCTTCTGACAAAAGGCTCTCGTGTAACGTCTCCCTTTAGCTGCCTCTTCTCTATTTCCCTCCCTAGTCACATATTCTAGCCTAGATAGGATAAAACAACACAGAGTTAAAACTTAATTTATACAACTGTACTTGTTATATCCACTACGCAAAAAGTATGACTTCAAGTTATACAAAACGAGGAGAAAAACTAAATGAAAATGAACAAATGAAACCATTTCATTCAGTATCTCAAGCGTAAGAGAGCAGGAGTTTAAAAGGTCTATGCCAAAACCTACATCTTATTGCTGAAGAGAATACACGAAAAAGTAATTTATCAACCTGTTATGAATTCTGTGGTAACCTGCTTCCAAGCTCAGTGTATTTTCTGGAAGGAGCTGTAAAACATAAGGTATTTTTCATAATCTGCATTGGTTTATTTTTACGCATTCAGGTGGGATATTCAATTAGCACATTCAGTCTAAAGCACTATTTTGCCCAAGATAAATTTCTTACATCCTGATAATATCCAATATTCAAAACCGTAAATTATTTTGGACAAGGTTAGCTTCTTATCCAACTGACCTCCTAGTAAAATTTCATAAAAATCACTAAATCTATCTTTTCATAAAGTTCTGCAGAAGTTTTTAATAACACACTTCCCTTCCCCTGCATTTCACTGACATAACCACAGAGAAAACTAAATTCTAATGTGTAGATTTTATTAGGAATACAGTACTAGCATTTTTAAGTATGGGTATTCTCATCCCTCCTCACGACTTAGGCAGATGCATCCAATTAACTATGAATCATTCTCCATAAATTTCCTGTTTAGAACTTACTGGCAACACCAGCGTAACAACCTACAGAGCTCTGAATGGGGGAAGAGAACTTCATTTGGTCACACATCATCACCATCTTTGCTTAGAGACCCCAAAAAGTGTTTGTTTTAAGGGGGTGGGTACGGTTGGCCCAGGAAAGAAATTGTTCACTTCAGATTCCAAAACGAGAGATTATTATGCTACTTCAAAGAAAGTTTTGTATTCCGAGAGAGATGCATAGAAAACTAAACATCACTACTAGAACTAAGGAAATTTTGATTTATTTGATCCTAAGCACTACTCAGCAGACTTGTCCTAAAATCATGGGTGAAGGAAACCGCGGCTGTTTTGATCGCTAAGCACTAGGGCGTTTGAGAACAGCTGCTCTTCTGTGCCATTTGACTCCCTGAACGTCGGGCCACGATTCCACAGAAAGTGCCAAAAAAGATAAGAATGAACCAGACAAACAACCTGGTTCTGTTTATTCACGCTGTATTTTCAAAAGACCTGAAACAAGTGCCTTCCAGTGTCACAAGCAAAATAAAGTCAGGAGAGTATCTACCTGAAGATTTTGGTCACGTTTCACTTTCTTAAATAGAGTCCATTCTCATTCTTCCTCCTTTGCTCATTAATTTTTGCCTTCTTTAAAAAAAAAAACCAAACCACAAACCAAAACAACCCCAAACCTGTTTGGTTTTTGGTTTTTTCCCCCTTCTCTCTTTCAGGAATTGCCACATCTTCTGCAGGAGCGCACTGCCCACACGCTGCTAGCTCAAGCGAGGACGTCCTGCTTTCTCATCCCTGCCAGGGAGGCCTGCGGCGCTCCAAATTCTGAAAGTTCATGAAACATTTCAAAGTTCCTTCTGTTATTCCTCAAGTGCTCTCCTCTGGAAGCTCTGCAGCCAGAAAGACTTAACACCACGAAGGAAACGGATCGCAGGTAACTCTCTCTGTCTTTTTTTAAATAATGGCTGATAAAAGGGAAAAACTTTCTACATTCAGATACGAACTTTACATTTCAGTGGTCATATCTGAAATTCGTGGGTTTTTCTTTAAAAAGAAACGTAACAGGAAACATTTTTGGTGCTGCCGACATGAAAAAGGTTCCCCATAAAAAGTAACAGCATACAATATGCCTCTACATACAAAATTTTACTTTAGAAAAATTGATTTCAAAGATTTCTGAAAAACAGGTTGGTATAGCGTTTAATTTCTCTCATCTTGAAAATTATTGAAACTATCTATCCTCTGTATATCCCAGTATGAGCTTCCACAGAATGTAGCCATCGTTTAAATATCGCACTGAAAATATTTCAATTCCCTTCAATTTCCATCACTTTTCACATATTTTGACTTCAGCTTTCAGAGATAAAATACAGTGACAAGAATCTTCAGAGAATTTTTAAAAGTATGCAGGTGTACAGCCCTATCTGAGAACGAAAAAAAAAATAAATCTACGAGCAAGAGACTAATTTTTTGGCTACCACCTTCTTCCTAGTCTTAGAGGGTCATTTTCTGTACCAGCTCACTGTTCTCAGTCAGACACTGTAAAGCCTACGCTTAGACGAAACGCTCTCCAGCAAGGAGGGCAAGTTGGTTTTCCTCCAGTCTGGCGCACTAGCAGTTAAGATCTCAAGGCTTTTAAACTTCAACAGAGAAATTGTTTTAAATTTTATTACAAGCTTCTTCTCATCGACCATTTTGATTACTGAGGTTTTAAAGGACACAACCAGAAACATTCCAGACCACATAATAAATAAACCCAACATAATGAAGGTAACTAGGTCTTCCAGAAGTTTGTCAAGTACTCCAGGAGATGAGCAGTTGGTTTCTTCAAGCTGAGCAGAGAAGCATGAAACGAACTTCAGCTTGCAACAAACTAGCGAGACACGTAAGAACGAACACGTCCCGTTTCGATATTACTTAATATTGGGATTGACAAGGCATTTGAACAACGAAGACAAAGATGCGCTACTGGAGGAAAGTTTCAAATCTAAAGTGGTCTGGAGGCACCCATTATTTCAAGCGATGACAATTTTAGAGGTCTACCCATGCCAGAATGTAGTTTCTGTTTTAACGCACTATAAACAGTCTATTGTAACTGAGTGGAACAGAATTCCATTGATTCTTTAGAAAACAAACTTAAGAAAACTCTTAGGAAAAAACAAGTAGAAAGCTTGCTACTAGCTCTAGTGATAAACTTATTAGTTTTCACTCTATGCAAAGGAAATGGAACAATATTAAGGTGAATGAATTTAGGTGTAGATCAAAAAATGAAGGATTATGCTGCCAGGGAGTGAAGGTTTATCATCACTTACCTCCCTCATCCAGAAGCTTCCCACTCAGGGGCTGGGATGTATCTGAAGAGTAACATGTAATGGAAATTTGTAGCATTAAATTAACTGCAGCTGATTGGAAGCACCTGATGGAGAAGAGGTGAGAATACCTGCTGTTTTAGAAGTGTGAATAGGATAATCCCCAAATCTGACTTTCTGGTCTTCTGCCCTGACATTAACTATTAAAATTTGTCTGAACACTGGAAAAAACACTCTAAGAGTCAGTTACAATAAGCTACTGTAGAGCAGTCTTCCAGACCAATAAAAAAAGGCTCAAGTTATGGTTTTTAACCGAAACCATAGCCTCCTGACGGCAGCAGTCAAATAACCAGGCAATCCACTTAGCATCAAAAGGAGATACAAGTTTTCATTGCTCAGTACAGTGACACAGCCAAAGTACCCAAACCAAAGCACACCTATCGTCTCCTCACCACGCTATTTAAATATGTACGTCAAGGCTACAGAAAACAAAATCTTACCTAGTAAGTGTGTACTCCCTGAGTCCTGAATGCAGGTTCATGGCGGAAAAAGTACCTATGCATCCACGTAATCGTTTATCTCGGCCAATCTTCCACGTTACAAACAGTGGGCTGTTTTAGGGAAGGGAAAAAAAAAAAAAGAAAAGAAAAGAAAGACATGATCACAGAAGCAATATTGACAGCCGGTGTAAAATGTCAGCAAGTTCTCTTCTATTCTGGGTAACGGGGGACCAAATCTCTAAAATAACCGTATCTGACAAGAAGGTATTTCCTCCCTGAATCTCAAGTTAGCATTTAAGAACCTAAAAATGACAAGGAATGAAGCAAACCCTCTACTAAGCTGAACAAATCTCAATTATGAGTGTGACACTGACAAAGAAATACTTCTACTATCACACAACTTTGTACCTGTCTATACTTAACAAGAAAGACACAAACCATACACCTTTCGGGATCGGAGTTTTCTTTGCCGTTCCAGAGTGCTGCATCACCCACAGGCAATAGAAAACTGCACAAACTTGGATTTCTCAAGGGAGCGCATACGGCTCCTGGATACTCAGTCCTCGTAACTCTAACAAAGATTTCTAATCTCAAGGTGGAAAGGAACGTAGAGAGAAAAACCGCGTATCAAATTTAACACTTCTTCCAGAAAGAAGACAAATCAAAGTGGATTACACGAACAAGAGCGCAGTGTCCCTTACTGTTCCACTTAATAAAATAATAAATTAAAACCAGGCATCTCAGTTAAACAACTTGGCACAGAGTATTCTTGATCACAAACGGGCTCACGCTGCTGCAGAATAAGCAAGCCCTCCCCGCAGATGTGGAGCACCTTCCTCTTAAATCCTGAAGTAAATCCGATGTTAAGTTTTGTGGAAAGTCACGAGCCATTCAGCCAGAAATACAAATCGGTCTGGGTACGGTGAGCACGGCCACGCTGCGCCCACGCTGGCAGGAGCAAGGTGCATCTCTGACATCCAGAGCACCTGGGACCGCCTCCGACGCGCTTCGGGACGCACAACTGATTTCTCTCCGAAGCTGTCAGATCAGGCGTCGCTCCTCAGTGTTACACACACTGAATTCATCTTCTGCTTCTTTATAGCTTTTTCTTTATAGCTTTGCATCCTTACAGTACAGTCCACAGCCCTTGCAAGGAAGGTCAAGAAGTCTAACCTGCCTCAGGCTGGCAGCCGAGAAGCAGATTACAAAGCAACCATAATTACCACGTGTGCCTCTAAGGAGGGAAGCGGACCCAGACGTACAGAAACAGTCAAAAATTCACAAAAAGTCACACGGCCTGCATCAAAAAATAAGAATCTCCTATTACTATGAGCCACAGGTAACGATCAGATTCGCAACAGCACCCTGCGAGATTAACACTGCTGCACAGCAAACCAGCCTTCGCTGTGTCCTGTCTGATCAGTGAGAAAAAAATGTAATCTGCAAGTTTCTCTGTATTTTGTGAAACTGAAGCTCCCTTCCCAGCTACGCTGAGATTCTTAAAATATACTGATGCTAAGAGCTTTACTACACGAGCAGATCAGTGACTGCAGAGCTGTGCGAAGCGTGGCCCGGTGTAGAGATGGGTGTAACCGTACCGGGGGTAGATATACGGGGGGGCTGTGGTTTTGGACTCTCAAGGAGTAGCCCCCAGTTTTTTTTCCTCCATCCATCCCACTGGCTTTGTGGCCCAAGATATCCATCCTGCGATGGCAGCAAAGGCTGTGCCTCAGTCTCTCCAGCACCAGCGCAGCAGCATCCCGGCCTCTCATGACTTCGCAAAACCTGTTGTTACCGCCTGCTGGGAGAGCAACTTCCTCCTTATTTGATTTAACTGGAAAAGTTCCCTTCTTTCAATTATGATGAATAGAAGAGGAAGCTGAAGTCATATCTTTCTGTTGGATTTGGATTTCCTCTTATTTGTTTTTAGTCCCACCCCTAGCTCCCCCCTCCTTTTTCTTTTTTTCTTAATTTGTTTGATAAAAACTAAAGAGCACAAAGCCAGAAGGGACTATTACCTAACGTTTAGCAGAACTTGCGTTAATACACTATTCTCCATCCAGATCAACAAGTGTCATTTTAGAAGCACTTTCAGGAAAGGTATCCCAGTGTCCCTAAATGGCATCGAGAACATTATGAGCTCACAATGGCACTGAAGGCACTCAGTCCCCTTGGACAGAAACAAGCCTGAATAAGATTCAAATTAGACTTTAGGATTATTCTCTTGACCTTTATCTTTGGATTATGAGATTTATTAACTGTAATACACTTAGTGGAGGGCTATAATTCAGGGAAACATATACGCATTTACTTTCTGGAGCAAACAGAACTCTTTCTAGAATGCATCGTCACTGCTACTTTGAAAGGACAACAGAAGAAAATGTCCAGAGACCATCACTGAATGTCAAATAGATACTGGAACATTTGCATACGCTTTGAAGGTCCCTGTCCACGAGTACCAACAGAAAAAGTAAAGGTTATATACATCTATTTTCATACTAGTGGTAGTAGTACTATAAACATGGCAATCGGACTAAATTTAAACCTCTATTCATTGGGTAAATGAACCACCCCCGGTAGCTATACATCACTAAATCTGATTAAAGAAGTTTTCCCCACCTTTCAACTTCTGTATTCCCCCAAAATTGCCTCCTTGTTCCCCAGGAGGCACTAGCCCAGCACGACCACACAGAAGATACTAAATTGTGTTTTTAATTCGTCACAGACATCTTCAAAATGTAATATTGACCAAAGGTTCAGAACAGTCAGTCACTCAAGAGAATTCTAACTATTCAGATTTGTGAAATAAGGCTGAAAGTGACCTTCAGGGCTCCTGCTATCATAAGGAATAATTATATTTATGTAATTCTGCTCATTCACCATTTTAAAAATTACTAGGAATAATGAGGACAAATCCCCCAAAATTAACAACTCAAAGGTTGCCTCAAAGTCTCACGGAAGTTCAGAACCTCTGGAAACATCCTTGCTGAAAATGTTTTCCCAGTCAGCTTGGACCTAGCTAATCTTGCGCCAACATTGTCCTTTAATTGAAATAGTTCTCTTCCCTTCCTGGTTATTATTCTCCAAAGTATTTATAGAAAGAACTCATGTGCCTCTTCAGCCTTCACTTTGCTAACGGGTTCTGTTCATTCAGCTTCCTCTCAAAGGGCACCTTTCCATTCCGACCATCACAGCTCTTCTCTACACCTTCTCCCAGTTTGAATTCACCTTCTCGAGCACCAGTGTCCAGAACTGTACGTGGAATTACAGAGGAGCACCTCACACCAGAGATGCTTCCATCTCCGGACTAGAAACAGACTGCTACATCTCAGGATTAATTCTCAGAGCTTCATATAAAACCTAAGTCTGCCATTCAAAACTTCACAAAGCATTTCTAGCCTTACACTAAAAGAAGACAATAGGAACCCTGCTCCTAGAACCTAGACAAGCTACAGAAAGGAACGATTTTCTCTCTAGTGATCTTTTGCTTTTTATCGGCATCCTCGGTTGCAGCTGCTTACCTATTTTCTCCAAGCCTGCAATACCTTGCTTTGGCTTTAAAGCCACTAACCCAGAAAAATTTGCCTTCTAAAATAACGACTAATCTAAGACCTGAAGTCAAGTGCCAAAGTCCACAGATATCGATGTCGAGAACAGCTAAGCAAATACGTACATTTTCAACCTGGAAAAAAAAATAAAATCCTTATTTTAATCTGTTATCTGTTTGTCTTAGAATAAAAAGGAGGATTTTTTTGAGGAACACATTGACAGATGTAAAATGATAACCTGCACTTCCAGGCACTTGAATGAAAACAGAAGAGAACAACATAAGAGAAAACCTTCAGTAAAAAGCAGGAGAGCTGGCGGATGCGGTGCGAGGAGTCCCTTTTGTCCAGTGACGTACAGAACATGCATTAAATGCTGCAGATCCAAGTTTTCTTTTTGCCTGAAGAAGTTTGAACCTATGTATCTCACAAGAACGGGAGAGAGAGAGAGCACACTGGGGTGGAGCGAGCTCCCCTCTTTGACTCTGGCTCCCGTTCGATTTATGATAAAAGCTGGGGTGGGTTTTTTGCGTGGGGTTGTTTGTTTTCTTTTAAAAAAGCATTCGCCAAACCAGAGGCTGTGCTTCCCTGGGAGAGATCTAACAATCACCCTCAAGTAGTTTTCTTGCCTCATTTGGGATGAAACATCTGATTAAAAAGCAAAACAGCTCCGAGCTTGGGAGTGAACCCTCTTGAACCCAGGGCCTCAGAAACATACCTGGCTGATGGGTCTGACTGTGGTACCAGGACCCTCTGACATCTCCTGCCGACTGTTTTACCACCAGGAGTCACACAGAGTGACACCCTGAACACTCAGCAGCTCAAAGTTGGTGCAAGATGTTTCAAACTGTTGAGAATCAGAAGGGACCTGATCCAGACCTTCAGAAGCATCGGTAAACAGCACAAATCAATTCTTTTTCATAAGGGTCTGTATTTTGTCCTTTTTTTGTTCGTTTGCAAGCCAGGCACTAAAAAAAAATAAAATATTTCCACCTAGAACTATTTACAGGTGCCACTGCAAATTCACAAGTGACCTGAAGACTGTAAACTTTCCCCTCAGCCACTGCCTAATTGATTGAAAAGTTTTGCTCAGCTTTAATCTAAAAATCAGGCAAATGTTCTTCCAGTTATTTGCGCTACGCCACGAAAACCAGCTGATCACACATATTGTTTTTCCCTACTTCCAGCTGCAAAACCAAATTAAAGAGACAGCTGCAACACAGCAAGAGTTGAATATTACTTCCTCTTATACAACAGCTGCCATCAAAAGGGTTGTACGTGCATCATCTGTCTCCTTGACAGACCACGGAAATTCGTGCACGTATCCAACACCCTCAACACTGACCTTAAATGCTCACCAGAAAATGTGCGGCTGAGGCACGGGAACACAGGTCAGCCGATCGGAGTTCTGCCCCGTGTGTCACTTCAGCTACTATTACACTATTTTCATTAATGAAGAAACTAGGAGAGCCCTGTATTTCACTTGAGCATTAATCTGTTACGACTTGGAGAAGTGGAGCACTTCACATGAAGGTCACAAGGTATAAGCCTATATAAACACGGAAAGTATCAAAATAGTCTCTTACACACTATGCCTACCTGTGCCCTCAACGCATTTCTATCGACGACACCAACTATTCATCTACTTGCCATATGTTACGAAAAGTATTTAGGCTGAAAGCAAAAACGCGTGAGCTATTTTCATAATCAGTCAGGTAACACAGCGAGAGCCAGCATGCCAATAACTGGCACTGGAATCATGAAGAAAGCACGGTTCAAAATATTATTTTAATATATGGCAACGCTGGATACAAGCTGGATACAAGCTGCCTTTTCTTTCTTTAATGACTAAGTGAAGGGGGAAAAGGCAAGAAGTGTGCAGACATTGGTCTTTTTCTCAGAAGCAGCACAAAAACTTTCTCTTCCTTTTTTCCAGACAGGAAAGCCAAAAGAAAAAAAAAAAAGGTAGGAGGAACAAGAAAAAGCAAGGGTAACAGATTAAGAATGTTGTTGGTTGCACTTGAGGATCTCCAAGTAATAAAAACATCCCTTAGAGGACTTTGAAGTAAAAAGGATTAAACTTGATGACCTGAGAGGTACAATGATATTTAGACAGACGTTTTAATTACAGTTATTAAACCAACCATCTTTTATAACCAGAAAAGGGAAGAACATCTCTACAACCCTAATGTTACTGACACCCAGGACTGCAGGACCAGGCACTGAAAAGCCAGCGCCCTCGTCCCTTTGTAAGAGCCGAGCGCTTCCACTTCAGCTCCGAGGATTTCCAAGCTACAACACGCCCAGAAAGTCCCCCAAAGAAAGTTGCAACGGCAGCGTTTTCCTTTTTGTTCCACACAAGTGAACAAGCCCCTGTTCTGAAATTCTAGAAATTTTCAACACGTATATTTTTCAAGATAAAGCTTACTCTAGCTTATTTGGAATCATGCTACACCTCCAACTAATGCTAAGCCCCACGTAACGCTATTTCAAACTAGAAGCACGTGGAGAAAGAGAAATTCAAGTTTATTGTTAGATCTGTCCGCTGTGCTCCCTCGCATGAGCAATGTCAGCCTGGTCCGGCCTCAGGGAGAGAGGTCTCCCGGCTAACGGAGGCTCTCTCAACTTCATTACGCCGCAGGCTGGGACATTTCCAGATGTCTCAATTCAGTGAGCTAACTCACATTACTCAATCTAAAAAAATTGAGCTCAGTAATGAAGGAGGCGGGAACATGTAACACCGAGAGCTTCATCCAGAGCATCTGCACATAGAATCATAGAATGTCTTGGGTTGGAAGGGACCTTAGAGATCATCTAATCCAACCTCCCTTAACTAGACCAGGTTGCTCATCCAACCTGGCCTTGACCATCTCCAGGGAAGGGCAGCCACAGCCTCTCTGGGCAATCTAGTCCAGAGTCTTGCCACCCTCGCACTGAAGAATTTCTTCCCAAGATCCAGTCTAAACCTATTCTCCTTCAATTTAAATCTACTTCCCCTTGTCCTGTGGCTGGACACTCTTGTAAAAGTCCCTCCCCAGCCTCCTGCAGGTTCCCTTCAGGCACTGGAAGGCAGCTATTAGGTCCCCCCGAAGTCTTCTCTTCTCCAGGCTGAACAATCCCAGCTCCCTCACACACATGCTTCCATGCACAGAAGTAGGGCACATATGTTGGAAGTATCTAGTTCGTGACGGAAGGGGAAACTTGATGGATGATATTACGGAGCTGGTCAACCAAACCTGGTGAGTGCCCTTCTGCAACAGTCACGTCAGCCAATGGCAGGGCGCAAGGACATCTTGGCCTGCCAGATATATTCCGGGAAAAAATCGGGTAAGACACAAGGAAATCAAAACAACAGTTCATCAACTTCCAAAGGAAAGTAAGGGAGAATGGCAACACCCTCTAGCCCATTTTTTCAAAGATAGAACTTGATAAACCTCGACAATTAAATCCTAAGATTTTTCTGGAAGAGAAACAAGAAAAGGAAGAAAAGGTCAGTAGCTCCTCGCAG